CAATTAAGTAGATAAGATGAAAAATGATCATCTGTGCTATTAATACAATCTTGGAGGAATAATAAGAAACTGAGTTTGAAAAATACTAGAAAAAATATATAAGAGAAATGAATCTGAGATCTGTGCAGAGGTAAAAGCTTGACATTTGTGTAAATGTGGGTGACAAAGAAAATGAAAGATCAGTGGTATAAAATTTTGAGCTCACAAATCTGGGGTTTTTTTAAGCTCCTGAGTATTTCTATTAACAATCGCAAACAAAGATTTATCATGCAATATGTTCCCACTTTAAGAGAACTTATATTTTAAGGGAAGGAGACAAAAAATACATTCAAAAAGTACAAATTAAAATTATGTGTACAGTCATAATTATTATTCTAAAAGATGACATTGTTTTCAACAACATTATCTCTAGTAACTGAGATAAGGTAGTTGTGTTCACCAGATTATACCATACGAGAGAACAATATGAATGTCTAGAGGGAAGAACTGATAACATGTTCTGAAAATTTTAAGATAATAATTACTCGCACATGAAGGATGGGGAAAGGGGCATATACTATATGAGTTTGGCCTCGAAATATGATTAAATTTGGACCAAAAAATTGGGGGAAGGGAAGAAGAAAATTAGCAAAAATAATTAATGGCAATATCTCAAGATATTTACCTGAAGCAACAAATAGCTTAGCTTAGCTTGAGGATCCAGCGTGTTGAAAGAAGTAAGATGGGATGAGAAGGAAAAGCTGGTAGGAACAAAGATTATGATGATCCCTGTGACAGAGTAATTCCACTCCTTGATATACATTCAAGAGAAATACACCCATATGTACACCTAAAGAAAAGTCCAATAATACTCATTATTTATCATAGCTAAAAATGGAATGGTTTTGAAAATATTATAGAAAAGTGTGAATAAATTTATAGAAAAACATGTGTATATATATATTTGGAGAGAGGAATAATATGTATATAGAGCAATGAGGATAAACAAGATATAACTACATGCAACAGTATAGATGCATTTCAAGCATTTAAGTGCTGAACACAAAAAGCCAGACACAAGAATTCATGCGCTATGATTCCACTTTTATAAGATTAGAAAACAGGCAAATCTATAGTTTTAGAAATCAAGTCAGTGATGACCCTTAGGAGATAGTGACTAGCAGAAGATGGAAGGAGTCTTCTGGGTACCTGTAATCTTTTTGTTTCTTGATTTGGGTGTAGGTACATGGATTTGCTCTGTTTGTGAAAATTGTTCCAACTGTACATTTATGACTTAGGCATTTTATATGAATTTTCTATTTGAATCAAACAAATATAATGGTGGTGTTTGAGGAACTGATACTCTTTATTTGATAAGGAGATGTAAAGATAAGGATATTAACTGAAGGACTGCACAGTTCCGTCATATTCAGAAATATTGAATCAAGCAGTAGCAAAACAAAAAGACTGAAAACAAAAGAGAACATTAGGACCAGTAGATAGCAGGAGAGGTTATAGTAATACATAGAAGGAAATGGATTTGATAAAGGATAAAATGGACAACTAACAGAACAGGGTAAAGAAAAGAGAATGATTTTCTTAGATGTAGAATTTCAAGACTGGAAAACAGGAAGTATCGCTGAGAAACATGAAAATCAAGAGAATAAATGGTTTGGCTGAGTATGGTTTTCATCCTTCTGTAATCACGTATTCCCAACACAGCAGTGGATGTACTGATCACAGTACTGGAAAAGTGAACAGTCAGGACTGAAGAGGTTGTTTGGAAGTAATCTTCATAGCAGTGATAGTTAAAGTCATAAAGGAGCTGATGTATAGATACACTGTAGAAGGATTATAACTGGCTAATTAACACATGCATTACCTTACAGAGTTATCATTTTTAAAGTGAGAACACTTTACAGTCACTTAGCATTTTTCAAGAATGCAATTTATTATTCGCTCTAGTCACCATGTTATACAATAGATCTCTTGAACTTATTCCTCCTGTCTAAATGAAATTTTTTATCCTCTGACCAACATCTTCTCAACCCCTCTCTCCCACCACCCCAGCCCCTGGTAACCACTACTCTATTCTCTACTTTTGTGATATTGTTTTTAGATTCTGCATATGAATGAGGTCATGTAGTAATCATCATTCAGTGTCTGGTTAGTTCACTTAACATAATTTCCCCCAGATTCCATGTTGTCACAAATGATAGGATTTCATTCTTTTTTATGGGTGAATAATATTCCATTGTATATTCCACAGTGTATATATACTTCAGAACATAATGTAATGCATAGTACATACTTACAATTTTATTACCTAATGTAAAAAAGAAAAAAAAAAAAAAGAAAGTAGATGAGTGTGCTAAGGGAGAAGATAATGAAGAAATTTAAAAGGGTCGGCACAGATTCTTGGGGAGGTGTACATTTGACAGATGAGGGCAGGTGGAAGACTCTGAAAAGGGGCTGTTGGATGTAAGGGGAAAGCAATGCCAAGAGAGCAGATCACAAGATCAGGAGTTCGAGACCAGCCTGGCCAACATGTTGAAACCCCGTCTCTACTAAAAACACAAAAATTAGCTGGGCAGGTGGTAGGCACCTGTAATCCCACCTACTCAGTTGGCTGAGGCAGGAGAATCACTTAAACTTGGGAGGGGGAGGTTGCGGTAAGCTGAGATGGCGCCATTGCACTCCAACCTGGGCAACAAGAGCAAAAATCTGTCTCAAAAAAAAAAAAAAAAAAAAGATGAGGAAACGTAGATTCTCAACAATGTGACTATTCTTTGGAGAACAATTGCACTCAGAGGTCAAAGAGATAGAGAAATACCATCATGGAGAAAGGGGATATATTGGTATATTGAGGGCAATATTATTCATGTTTGTTGACTTGGCAATAGAACAAAAACTCTAGAGCTATATTTTCTGGCTACATCCTGATTCTACCGTTGACTGACACTATAATCTTGATTACTCACTTAACATTTCAGAAAGACTCAATTTCCTCACTTATAAAATTGGAATAATTATAATTCCTCATAGAGCTCCTATGAAGATTGAAGTTTAAATATGTTCGTGGTTTCTAGAAGAGTGCCTGTCATATGTGTGTTAGCTATTTTTCTTGTGTTTGGTAACATATTCTAAGATCAATAGATACACAATATAATCTTACTCATATGGCAGTGATTCAAAAGGCCTTTGACGGTTATTTATATCAGAATTCTGCTCTATAGATCTAAGCAGAAGCCTAGACATATAGCCACCTGGCGATACACATCAGAGATTCTGCTTACCTAATTTTTCTAAAGCTTTGTACCTCAGTTTCTTTGTCTAACCTGCACAAAATAATTCAATAAAGAATTTTTCACCTAGACTTTCTAAACATCAAGTATTCTCTTAAGTCTTGTTTTGGAATTTTCAGGGTGGTTGAAATTGATTGATGACATATAATAAATCATAGAAGCACTTAAAACCTTCTGTAAAGGTGTTAGTAACTTAATGTTTTGTTGCTGCTATTGTTCTCCCTGTGAAAAAGGATGAGAATTCTCTAGATCTTTTAATTTTGCAAACTCTTGCCCACCTTTTGGCCCTTATCTTATCAGACGTAAATGTCTGTTGTTGTAATTCACCATTTGAGTTGAGATGTTATTAAGGAGATGAAGTGCACCAATGAGCTCCCTGTCCACAATAGGGTCAGTCTCACTCTTATCCAACAATCGACTCTGTTTCCTGCATGGCAGGTAGATAGCAGTTGCAATTACTGTCATGTTGTGTCTAGGGAAACTTAGACAGGAGGGGTAAGTAACTTCCTCAAGGTCATATTGGAAATCGGTGGCATTCCAAGTAACAGAACTTGGAATACACTTAGCCAGTTCAGCTCTTGAATAGCTTTAACTCTATTAAGAGAACAGTAAATAATTTGCCATAATACCAGTGTATATTCAGCAATATTTATTAGATCTAGCATCACGGATACAGAATGTAAAGAGAAGAGATACAGAATGTAAAGAGAAGCCCCAGTTGAACCTATCTTAGCTATTGTTATTTGAATGTTTTAACACTTTTTATGAGAATAGAGAGAATGATAATGACTAGTAGTCAAGATAGAGAAAACTCATTTCTATTTTTGAACTAGTTTAATGGGTTGGTGGCTTACAATTTACTTAACGTGCTTGCATATTACTTTTCATTTCAGAAGTAGTGAGCTGTGTCTTCATTTACATGCTTTACCATATGCCAGCAGTAGTAAAAGTTGCTCTTCTCTTACAGCCTCACATAGGACATATTTCCTGAGAGAAGAAACTACAAACTACTTTCAAATGCTAAGAAATAGCACTTGTATCAGTTAAAAACTTAGTCTCATGTAGCTTAATTTGATTCTTCATAGAAAAAATGCAAATAAAATGAAAAAAATGTATTAGACGTGAATATATTTTGATTATTGAAAAAGAAATAGCTACTATTTAAGGAACATTCAATATGTGTCAAGCATTATGCTGAGACATTTAAAGAAAATTTCAAACCAAAAGCATCATTGTTTATTTTCTTTATTATGTTAAAGTTGAGGCATGACTAATTCATCCTGTAATTACTCATAAACACGTAGGTAGACATAGTCTCATTTCAAGTTAAATTATGTTATATATTCCCCTTTTTATATGCACTTTTCTAACAAAGGTGATGTATTACACTAAATTTGAGCTTGTTTAAAATTTGAAATGCACTAGAAATTTGCAAAGTCCCACATTTATTTTATAAAATGGACGTAAGTATGTTGGACACCAAGTTCTACAGTCTTATTCTCAAATGCAACAATATAATTCTAGAGCACATTATTCTAATTTAATAGATTTTTATATGAAAAATTAAGCCTGGAAAGTTTTGATTGAAGACTTTAACAATACTGTGTCTCTGATTTTGAGTGATTAAGTTTTGTGAATATCCTGTAATGTCTACTTATTCCTAAAATGCTTTTGTCGTAGTGGAATGATTTAAATTCTAATTATCACATGTTTTAGGCTAAAATGACTCAACTGCCTGAGGCAGAAAAGGAAAAGATTGCTGAGCAAGTTGCTGATTTCAAGAAAGTAAAGAGTAAGCTGGACGCTGAGATTGAGATATGGGATGATACAAGCAACGACATCATTGTTCTGGCCAAGAACATGTGTATGATCATGATGGAGATGACAGACTTCACCAGGTAATTATATGGAAAATAATGTGTAATACTCATAATGGCTAAAAATATTAGTTATTAGTGAACCTTCCAAGTTTATCTGAGTGTCAAGGGCCAAAAATCAAGTGATAGGGGAAAAGCAAATACGGCATTAGAAAGTTGCAGGTGTGGCCGGGCGCAGTAGCTCACACCTATAATCCCAGCACTTTGGGAGGCTGGGGTGGGTGGATCATGAGGTCAAATGATCACGACCATCCTGGCCAACATGGTGAAACCCCATCTCCACTAAAAATACAAAAATTAGCTGGGCATATTGGCTCACGTCTGTAATCTCAGCTACTTGGGAGGCTGAGGCAGGAGAATCGCTTGAACCTGAGAGGCGGAGGTTGCAGTGAGCCCAGATCACGCCACTGCACTCCAGCCTGGTGACGCAGTGAGACTCTGTCTCAAAAAAAGAATGTTGCTGGTGTACAATTCTAGAGGTGTCGATCAATAAATAAATATGGCAAAGTTTCTCATAAACTTCTGTGGAATTGTTTTAGACATCACTTAACACTCTCTCACCTTCCCCTTCCCCAGCCATTTGCTCTGTGTATCATATTAGCTTGTGACTTCTACAGAGAATTTGGTAAAGCAAGTTATTAGCTGGTATTGGAACTATCTGAATGGCTAACTTTCATAGCTACACAATTTTAGTTATAGTGATTTATAGTATACTCAGGATAGTGGTATCTTTTGCTTCTGAGATCAGAACTAGATATATTTAAAATTACAATCACTTAATGATAGCCGTGAAAAAATGTACATGTGGGCATATTCCAGAAGTAATAAAAACGTTTGTACTATTTAAAAATATCATTTTATAGAGCTAGTCAAAAAGCAATGAAATATATAGTTGCTGTGCTACTAGTTAATAAAGTATACAAACTATAACAACTAAAATAATTTAGTCATGGTGTAGTTATAAAAGCCACAGAACAGAAGGATACACTGAAACAGACCTAATATACTTAGGAGATCATTCATTTATATAACCATATAGTATTCATTTATATGGTACCATGTACCAGTGGTACATTCATTTATACCCCAAAATAACTTTCAGACGGAGTAATGAAGTAACTGTTATTTTTAAAATCATAATTAATGGAGAAACGTATACATTCAGACGGAGTAATGAAGTAACTGTTATTTTTAAAATCATAATTAATGGAGAAACGTATACAAATCTTTCCATGATATTAAAATTGAGAAAGAGTTCATGAAAATTACATACAAAATAACTTACAAAAAAGGATTGTTAATTTGAACCTCAAAAAATGCACATCAATAGAAAGTCCTAAGCAATATTGAAATCTAAATGGATAACTGGGTAAACAAAAATGTGATTCCATTTATATATAAAGAATACTTGCATACAAAATAAAAACTTAATATTGTAATGGAAGAATGGACAAGAATATGAACAACATATGATTAACCAGAAATTTTCTCCTCATAAGAGTTATGACCAATAAATATTTGAAAAGTATTTAAAATACTTAAGATATCTTTTAAATCTATCAAATTGACCAAACCTTTTAAAATAGGCTCAGTACAGAGTATGGTGGTGATAACCTAAATGGCATAAGCCTTATAGTAATGTGGGAATATGTATAAACTAAAAATCTTTGTAAACTTCTCATATCTGTATCCATATCTGTACTCCAGAGAACACATCCAAAGGAAATAATATATGGTGATAAACTTTTTTGAATAAGGATTAGAGGGGCCAAAGGAAACCTTTGGTCTTTGAAAATCTGCTGAAAAATCAACTCACAAAAGGCAGATTAATAAGTGAAAAAACATATAAATTTACTTATTATGTATGCATGTTAGGTTTCAGAATGAAGACCCAAAGATACAGGAGAAATTGTTTATTTTTATGCTTAAGTTCAACAAAGTATGGACAGTCATGTGGAAATATGATGGGGCAGGCTGGGTGCAGTGGCTCAGGCCTGTAATCCCAGCACTTTGAGAGGCTGAGATAGGTAGATCAAGAGGTCAGGAGTTTGACATCAGCCTGGCCAACATGATGAAACCCAGTCTCTACTAAAAATACAAAAATCATCTGGGTGTGGTGGCAGTTGCCTGCAATCCCAGCTACTCAGGAGGCTAAGGCAGGAGAAGTGCTTGAACCCAGGAGGTGGAGGTTGCAGTGGGCTTAGATCATACCACTGCACTCCAGCCTGGGTGACAGAGCAAGACTCCGTCTCAGGATAAAAAAAAAAAGAAATATGATGAGACAAATAAGGTATAATCTTATGTTAATAGACTGAGTGGGGTACCCAGCAAGGCCTGTCTCTCTAGATTTTTCTTGGCTTCTCTGAACATGTATTTCTACCTTCTGGATATAGGGCAAGACCCAGGTGGAATAGGGGTCTCATGACCTACAGTCAAACAAGATAGGTCAGAAAATTATTGTATGACTAGTTGTTACACAGAGAGATGGAAATGGTTTTCGAATAATATTTTTATGTTTTATGGCTAGCTTTGGGGAGAAGGGCTTTTGGCTTCTGTGACCCAACCCCTTGGAGAAGAAGGATTTTAGTATTTATGACTAGCCCCTGGGGACAATGGGAATGAGCCATAGGAGAACAGGAAAAAATGAGAGAATATCTTTTGCTTCTCAGGCTGCTGCTAAGGCCTTCATTTTGGGGTATTTTTTTTTCTGAGCCCCAGCAGGAGAACTATAGAATTATTTAAAATAATAGAATATTTGGGATGATTAAAAAAATGGTTACTGCCATATGAAAAAAGAGCTTATAGAAAATAAAGTCAAGTTTTTAAAAGAATATAAAAGTAGTCTAAATTGTATGATCTATTATATATATATGGATATATGGGTATTCTCCTTTGCAAATTTCTTCTTTGTTTTGTTTTATACCAAACTTACTCTTATAATAAAATTCCATTCATATTTCAAATTTTTTTAAATAAATCTGCTTTCCAAAGATTATGTACAGGGAAGATTTCATTGGAAAGTGAGAAAATTAAGTTTATTGTGTATTATACATGGAATTTCATAAAAATACCTCTTTAAATGTCTATTTCTATTTTTCCTTCTTAACTCTTGCCATTTTTCCAATTGTAGCTCATAGCTTCTACTGTCTTCTTATTCCTCTTCATACAGAGAATAATTCAGTTTTGAACCATCGCTCAACTTCTGCAGGCAAAGATTCTGAGAAATCTGTTTGTATTTGTCTCTGCCTCTCTCTTTCTCTCTGTCTCTGTTTCTCTCTCTTTCTCCACACATATAATCACATGCATATATCATACAAACATACATAACATAGACATGATTATGCCTGTATAAAGGAAACAAAATGACACCTTCATAGTATTAAATAATGATTATGGGCCTGGTGTGGTGGCTCACACCTGTAATCCCAGAACTTTGGGAGGCTGAGGCAGGTGGATCACCTGAGTTCGAGAACAGCCTGACCAAGAGCATCCCAGCTATTTGGGATGCTGAAGCAGGAGAATCACTTGAACCCAGGAGGTAGAAGTTGCTATGAGCCAAGATGGTGCCATTGTACTCTAGCCTGGGCAACAAGAGTGAAACTCCATCTGAATAATAATAATAATAACAACAATAAATAATGATTATGTTTTAGTAGTTGGATTGTGAATAATTTAATTACAGTTTTTAACCTTCTATAATTTGTTGCTGTTCTTTGATAAATATGTAATAATTTAAAAAGTATGTAATTTGGTTTTAGATTGGCTCTAGGAAAATGGCAGTAGACTAAATTTAAATCAATCCAGACAACCTCTTCCAAAATTAAGACCAAAAAAAAAAAAGTCTTACATCATGCCAGATTTCAACATTCCTGAGATACAAAAAATAGTATAAATTTCAAATTATCTTTTAACTAGAGAAATATACAACAAATTCCAACAGAGTTTCTGATGACACCCTGTCATCACCATAAACCTATGGGTCTGAAGAGCAGGGATTGAGATGTTTAAAACATCTCATGGAGAAGAGACATGGGAAAAGGTCATAAACAAAGCGCAGAAGAAAATTGGGCCAAAATGAGAATACCCGCCATTAAGTGCTAAAATACTGAACACAGGCCTAGAACTTGACAGTTTGCATTGTTCAACACGCGCTTATGAGTGAGAATGTGGTGTTTGGTTTTCTGTTCTTGTGTCAGTTTGCTGATAAGTGGGTGTTGAACAATGAGAACACATGGACACAGGGAGGGTAACATCATACCCTGGGGTCTTTGGTGGGGTGGGGGATTAGGGGAGGGTTCGAAGGGGGTGAGGAGATTGGGGAAGGATAATATTAAGAGAAATGGAGGCAGCAAACCACCATGGCGTGTGTATACCTATGTAACAATCCTGCAAGGTCTGCACATGTACCCCAGAACTTAAAGTAGTAATTAAAAAAAAAAAGAAGTTGACAGTTTGCCACACCAACTATGGGGAAACAGATTAAAATTAAGTGGGATTTTAATTGGGAATTTTAGAGAATCTTCAGTTTTGGGGGGACAGGAAATACAGAACAGGTGACATTGGAGGTATGCTAGTAATTGGAACAAGGGATATAAATAGGAAATAAAAGAATCCTAGAAAAACGAAAGAGAAACATAATATATGGCAACCTTCCTCTTTCCCACTATCATCACCAAAACCTCATCTGTTAAGGAAAGAGTACTTCCTGGTCATGATGGGAACTCTTTAACTAGGAACCCTGCCTGGGAAGAGGAAAATTCAGACTAACTGCATACAAAGCTATTGTAAGAAGGTATAGAAAGTGAGAATCAAAACAATTCAGTAGATAAAACCTTTACTCTAAAAAACAAATACAATGCAGAAAAATAAAACCGTAACACAACGCTTAAAACTGAAGTAAATTTCAAAAAGATACACAATGCAAGATAAATTTTTTTAGTCTAGACTGAGAAAATTTTTAAAAGTTAAGCATTCGGCTGTGAACCCGTCTGGTCCTGGACTTTTTTTGGTTGGTAGGCTAT